CCCCCCCCCAGGGCTCGACCGAGAACCTTTTCACTTGGAACGACATGAACGAGCCCTCGGTCTTCAGCGGCCCCGAGGTGACGATGCACAAGGACGCCGTGCACCACGGCGGCTGGGAGCACCGAGACCTCCACAACCTCTATGGCCTCTACGTGGTGAGCGTGGGGCCCCCCCCCCCCCCTTTGCCCCCCCCCCCCATGCCGGGGGAGTCCCTCACGGCTTCTCTTTCTCCCCCCCCACCCCAACCCCATCCCCGCAGCAAATGGCGACGGCCGAGGGGCAGATCCAGCGCTCGGGTGGGCAGCACCGACCCTTCGTCCTGAGCCGGGCTTTCTTCGCCGGCTCCCAGCGTTACGGTGAGGGTGGGGGTCCACCCTGGGGCCCCCCCTCTGTGTGTGTGCGCCCCCCACTCCTCCTCACCCCCTTTCCGTCCCGCAGGCGCGGTGTGGACGGGTGACAATGCGGCCGAGTGGGAGCACCTGAAGATTTCCATCCCCATGTGCCTGAGCTTCGGGCTCGCCGGTCTCTCCTTCTGCGGCTGTGAGTGGGGCGAGAGCGGGATCAAGGAGGGGGGGCTTGGTGCGCTCGGACCCCCACCCTGAGCCCCTCCTGCCCCCGTAGCGGATGTGGGGGGCTTTTTCAAGAACCCCGAAGCGGAGCTGCTGGTGCGGTGGTACCAAGCGGGCGCTTTCCAACCCTTTTTCCGCGCCCACGCTCACCTGGATACGGCGCGCCGCGAACCCTGGCTTTTCGGGGAGGAAAACGTGGCGCTGATCCGCGCCGCCATCCGCCAGCGTTACGCTCTCCTCCCATTTTGGTATACCGCTTTCTACCGCAGCCACCGCCACGGGCTGCCCGTCATGAGGTGAGTGGGTGGGGGGGGGGTGTCCTTTCCAAAAAAACTCCCCCCTCCCCTCCCCTCCCTAGGTTTGTGACGTGTGTCCGTTCCCCCTCCCCCCTTCCCCCAGGCCGCTTTGGATGGAGTACCCTGAGGATGCCACCACCTTCGCCATCGATGACCAGTACATGATCGGTGAGGGGCAGGGGGGGTTTGCGGGCCATGGGGGTGTCCCCACTCCCATTTGGGGGTCGTCCCCCCCACCCCAGTGCTGACCCAGGACCCCCCACCTCATCCCCAGACAGGGCGCTGCTGGTGCACCCCGTGACGGAGCAGGGTGCCCGTGGGGTGCAGGTTTACTTACCCGGCAAGGGAGAGGTGAGCTTTG